TAGATCTATTCGGGACTGAAAATGTCACACCCCCAAACCAAGGATGGTGGAAACGTCCGGGGGTGGAGGACTTCATGTATAGTATCACAACAACGAGTATAATAGTGCTCAAAGTAAATACAACCATCATAAATATAATTGAAAAGGTTACACCATAGTATAAGTTTACATGTTTCAAAATCAATTACATTATGATGACAAAATGAACTGTTTGATGATTTAACGTCTCATCCTCAAGATGTTGTTGATTTCCTGTTTCACTGATTTCCTGAGAATACAAGTAGTTTTGGAAAGTGTCAACAATTAAGTTGGTGAGTTCATAAGAGTTTTGTTTGAGGAAAAAGCCGTTTTCCTTGTAAAAGCGATAGAGTATGATTCCAGAAAATCCAATATTTTCTTTATTAAGTGTGAAGTGAATGCTCCTATGTTATGCGATAATGAACCCTAGAAAGACCCGTAGATTCCTTCTATAATCACCCAGTGTATATAAGTTATATAAAATTTAAGTTATATAAACCGTCGAATATAATGGGTCTGCCCTAGGTCCACAACCAAACAAGGAACAGGAAGTAAGGCGGGCCCACCAATTCTAAGTCGATTGTGACTAGCTTCTTATATAACTCTAGCATATACACTTAGCAATTATAGCTGAAGTCTAACAATTCTAGACGAAATGTAGTTTTATTAGAAATATGTTTCCAAAGAAAATCCAATATTTTCCTTATAAAAGTCATGTAGTCCTAAATCCCAGGACCGAGAATATGTGTGTGTGTTTTGTACTTATAATGTTCATAATAGTAATGTGTTTCCAAAGAAAATCCAATATTTTCCTTATAAAAGTCATGTAGTCCTAAATCCCAGGACCGAGAATATGTGTGTGTTTTATACTTATAACGTATTTGTAGTTTTAAATAGATAAAACCCCTTTTCAAAGTAGAATTTTCCCTGTAAACTTGAAAGATTGTTAACTCCCTATGTGAGACGCTATAACCATACTATGACGAGAAATAACCTGCACAACGTTTTTCAAACGTTAAGATCCTATGACTCTTGTCACCCGCAGACCTGCCGGTCCGGCTGTAGCTAGCAGCGAGGGGTGGGGTGTCAATCCCAATATAGATCTATACACAATTATCACGCTCTCCCCACAAGAGACTCTGGTTATAACTTACAGGAATTGGAATCCCGCACTCGAACGTACGGGGAGAGAATTGCCTCACAACTTAAGTTAACTAGTTTACACATAGTTTGATATTAAAACCTCTTCCGTGGAGGAAGTAAAATCACCTTTTATGAATAAATTAGTGATATGAAATCCTTAAACTATTAATATTATAGTTTATCATGTAGTATATGAAAAAAACCATTTGTTTTGAGAGTAAAACCTTTTTCATGTAGTAAAAATCCATAAACTATGATTATTGTAGTTTATTATATGTGTTCGAAATGAATGAAGAAACCTTATCATGAATGACTAAATTTCAGTTTATGAGGATATTCTAATCAATAAAAGACATTCAAATATTTAGAATTTATTGTTATGCACTTTGCTCAACATACTACAAAGTGTTATGAAAATTGTAAGTTGTTAACTAGTTTTTGACCTTTCTACACTGGTTTAGAAAAATCATAGAAAACTCATACGAAGTCGAAAACTGAATCCGTAAATTCTGAGAGTCCATAAAATGTATCTAGTTTATTCATAATTTTTATTATGATTTTTAGAAGTCTTTAACTTGTGTTAAAATGTTCATATTCACAGACTGGTCCGAATTCGTTTCTGAAATGATAGGCAGTTTTGTAAATATCACCATAAATCGTAGAAAAATCGTATGGAGATGTGCAAGTAGTAATTTTAAAGGTATGAACCTGAACTATTTGCATATTAAACAGTTTTGAAAGATATTAAGTTTAAGATAGTCAAAACAGTCCGTGAATAAGACTCAACTTTTCTGATGAAAAGCTGTTGTTTGAGTTTAGTTAAGTTTTTAGTGTTTTAACTTGTATCCCCCCCCCCTTAAAACTTGAAGAAAACATGAAAATTTAGGGGTATGAACTCACCTTGAGTGATTTCAGAAGATGGATGATGAAGAAGAGAAGTGTTCAACTCAAGAACACTTAGAAGATGCTTGATGATTCGAAGATCTAACAACAAATATGACGATATTTGTGTAAAGAACTCATGATTTGAGTGAAGAAGTGTAAGGAAATCAAGTGTGGGAAGAGATTTACTTACCAAGGTGTATGAGAAGCCTTAGAACTCCTGGAGAATTCGAGAATTTGGAGAGGAGAGTGAGAGAGAAAAAGTGTTTGCTCTTTGGTGAAAAGTGAGTGAAATGGGAGGAGAGAGGAGATTTTCAGCTTTTGGTGAACCTTTACAGCTGGAGGAGGGGTGTCAAAGGATAAATAGTTGACTAGGTAGGGGGAATAGTGACTGAGGGTTGTACCATGAAGGTATGGGGGAGGTTGCTTGCGTCTTACTCTAGATAAAGTCAACACTCTACCCCAAAATCTAATTTAATAGATTTTATTCTTGGACAAGGACTTCCCCCAAAAATATGATTAAAAATGAATATTTAGGGTCTCTTATATTAAATTACGAGTTTTGGTGAAAATCCCGCGTTAAAATCACGAAAAACGGGCTTAAAACGAAGATTTGGTCAAAAACCGGGAAGGAAATGGGAAAATCCGAAATTGGGGCCGAAGTTGCGAAGGTTCGGTCTTAGGAGCATAGAACCGAAGGTAGGGTTTGGTCGTGTGTTGGAACCGAGAGTATGGTTCGGTCTCAGCTTTGTATCTCGGACCGAAGGTTGTGTCTCGGACCGAAGGTGAATCTTGTCAGAACCGAATCTTGTCAGAACCGAATCTTGTCAGAAGCGAAGGTGAAGTTCGGTCCAGGAGGCTTCTTAGGGTTTCGGTTCCTTAAGAGGGTTCGGCTCCTTAAAGCTGTTTTTCGCGTAAACTTCCGTTTTCGAGCGGTTTTCGACTAAATTAAGGGTTGGGATGCCCCGAGTGATTATAAGAAGTTGAGAGAGATTTGGGAGAGATTTGACATACTTGGAGAGATTTGACATACTTGGAGAGATTTGGGAGAGATTTGACATACTTGGAGAGATTTGGCATACTTAGAGAGATTTGGGAGAGATTTCACATACTTGGAGAGATTTGGGAGAGATTTCAGATACTTTGAGAGATTTCTCATACAGAGAGAGATTTGGGAGAGATTTCACATACTTGGAGAGATTTCTCATACAGAGAGAGATTTGGGAGAGATTTCACATACTTAGAGAGATTTCTCATACAGAGAGAGATTTGGGAGAGATTTCACACACTTGGGGAGATTTGGGAGAGATTTTAAATAGAGAGAGATATAGTGAAAGAGATTGAGAGAGACTTCGTTTGCGACCTTTTTAAGTGTTTGGCTTCGTAACGCAAGGTTCTTACACTCTGTTAAGCCTTGTTATGAATGTTATACGCTCCCGAGGGGTATGGAATAATGTTTTATCGAGTAGATTCATCACTTACCCTGATTAGGGTTTAGAATTTCCGAACACGTGAAAACTCTAAGTGATACTTTGTATTAAGATTGCGAGTAGTACAATAAGAATCATAATGGAAACCCTAATATACAAGGGTTAGATGAGTTGACCGGTTTGACTTGTTGACTTTGGTTGACTTTGACTTGACCAAAAATTAACGGTTGTCACAGAAAATCCCACACCTAAATTGCTAGCTACAGTTAGGCAGGCATGCATGGGGTGACAAATATCATACCGTACGACGCCTGAAGAATGTCGTAGAGGTCATCAGTTATATCAAGCATGGTTATACGACCCACAACAGTATTAATTAACTTTTGTTTACGGGATTTCATTCTTCATTAGTCTTATTTTAAGTAAAGAAACTACTATACATACTGGTGATAGCCAGGGTTTTCCAAACAGAAAATGCTATACATATTGGCGGTAACCAGGCATACAAACTGATACGTTATACACTACTACGTAATACAGTATTCAAACTTATATGTTAGAAAATATTGGATTTTCTTGGGAAGCATACAAACATTTATCATATTCAATGATAGGTTTTTGTTACAAAAACATGCTTATGAACTCGCCAGCTTTATGTTGATACTCTTTCAAAACTACTTGTATTCTCAGGAAATCAATAGACAGGTACCACCTGGAGTTTTGAGAAGACGGAGCAAAGTAGAGTCACGTCTTTATATTTTGCTCATACTTTTGATGTATACAAACAAGAATTGAACAGATGTAAACCTTTTTCATATGTATTCAATGTTTGGTTGTGTTTACTATGATTGCTATGATACAATTATTGTGATACTATACATGACGTCATCCACCCCCGAACATTTTCGCCGTTCCGGTTTGGGGGTGTGACAGATTGGTATCAGAGCTCTTGTTTATAGTGAACTAAGTATACCGAACCTTACATGGTATACAACTATAAACACTAAGGGTCTGAAGTGCTCTGAACTAAAAGTATACTTTTAAAATATAAGTATTTTATAAGAAGTATACATACAGAACAGAACCGGAGCCACAAGTAGAACAAAACAAAAGTATTTGGATGTTGGACACTGCGGTTAAACCTGGGCGGTTATGTAATCATGGCTAGGGTCAATATAGCCTGATCAACTATATTTATTCGAGACATGACCAACATGTGCTTGGGAGTGACTGTGGTGTTGCAGCAAGCCTAAAACTTACCAAGTATATATACATCAGGTATCGATAGAACAAAACATATTATATGAGTATTTTAGCTAGAGCCAAATACAGTATAGATATTCATTCCAAGTGTTGCTACATATTTCTTCTTAGCGATAGTTTACTTGCATTAGTAACCCTTCTCTATTTATCGCTTCGTAGAACACTTTATCTATCAGACTGAGATATATTCTTGTGTTATATCTCTTGATTCTAAAATTCTAGAGGACTTATCATCCTCTTTTTCTTCATTCTTTTTAGAACAAGATGCCTCCCAGAAAGAGACCCAACAGGAAGAACAACGACCCTGCACCGCCACATCCTCAGTTTGATCCTGCCATGTTCCAGGCAGCAGCTACCGCCGCCGTGACTGCAGCAATGGCGCAAATCAATCAGGGAAACTCTGGTGGATCCGGAGGTGGTACTAATCCCCAAAACCACGGTGATCACGGACATCAAAAGGAGTGTTCCTATAAGGACTTCATGAACGCGAAACCCAAATCCTTCGACGACAATGGAGGAGTCATTGCCTTAACTCGATAGTTCGAGAAGATCGAATCCATTTTCGAAATTTGTGCTTGTGCGGAAGCTAGTAGGGTGAAGTTCGCCGCCTGTACCTTCACCGACAGAGCACTGACCTGGTGGAATGGTCGAGTCAAGTCCCTAACCCTGCCAGTGGCGAATGATATAGGTTGGGAAAGTTTAAAGGAACTTATGCTCGCAGAGTACTGCCCAAGGGGCGAGATGCAGAAATTGGAACACGAGCTCTGGAACCTGAAGATGAAGGGTTCCGACATTGCCACTTACACAGCTAGATTCTGCGATCTGGCTCTTCTCTGTCCGGGGATGGTCACCCCGGAAAGCAAAAAGATTGAAAGGTACATTTGGGGATTGACGCCCCCAACTCAAGGGAACATGTTGGCTGCTAAGCCTACCACATTTGATAGCGCCAAGTGTCTGGCGCAGACCCTGATAGATCACGGGGTTGATTTGGATAAGGTAACAGCTGCTCCTGAACCACTGAAGGAGAGTGGTGGGAAAAAGAAGTTTTGGAACAAACGCAAGGGGGAGTCTTCTCAGGAGCCCTCCAAGAAACAACAAACAGTAGCAGTCCACACTGCTACTACCCCTGCTGCAGTTCCCACAACTCCGACAACCCCCAGCCGCTATGCTGGAAACCTACCCCTGTGCAACAAGTGCAACTATCATCATCATGGACAATGTCGGGAGATGTTGTGAAACAGCTGTGGTAAGAAAGGACACACAGCTCGATTCTGCAAGACACCAGTCCAACCAACCAATCAGACTCCTGGAGCAGGCGCCGGTCAAGCCTGTTATGGTTGTGGGGAGGTTGTGCACTTCAAGAGAAATTGCCCCAAGGCAACAATAGCTGGCAACACAGGGAGAGTGCTGGCGATGGGCCAAGAGGAGGCAGTTGCTGATCCCATAGTTGTTACGGGTACGTTCCTCCTTGACAACTCTTATGCATGCATTCTTTTTGATTCTGGTGCGGAGAGGAGCTTTGTTAGTCATGCATTCAAACATCTACTTAAATGTAAATCCCAACCTTTAATCGAAACATTTACCGTCGAGATGGCTAACGGAAAGAAAGAAATCACAAACAACATATTCATAGGTTGTACCCTTACCCTAAACGATCATTCCTTCCCCATCAATCTTATGCCAGTCTCTATAAAAAGCTTTGATGTTATCATTGGTATGGATTGGTTGAGCCCCAACCGTGCTGATATTCTTTTGTTACGAAAAAGTCATCCGTCTCAATCTACCCTCGGGCGAAACTCTCATAGTTTACGGTGATAAACTCAGCTCAAACCTTAGTATCATTTCCTGCATCCAAGCCCAGAAATATCTGCGAATGGAATGCCATGCATTCCTAGCCCATGTCGTTAACGAAAAGCAGGAAGTTAAAGACCTCGAGAGCATCCCCGAAGTCTGCAACTTTCCTGATGTCTTCCCCGAAGATCTTCCAGGAATTCCTCCCGAGCGCCAAGTCGAGTTTCGTATCGACTTAGTTCCTGGAGCTACTCCGGTAACTAAATCTCCATATCGTCTAGCGCTAGCAAAAATGCAAGAGTTATCCAGCCAGCTCAATGAGCTGATCAACAAAGGATTCATAAGACCGAGTTCCTCACCCTGGGGAGCCCCAATTTTATTCGTGAAAAAGAAAGATGGATCCTTTCGGATGTGCATTGATTATCGAGAACTGAACAAGCTTACCATCAAGAACCGTTATCCCTTACCCAGAATCGACGACCTCTTTGATCAGCTTCAGGGAGCCAATTACTTCTCTAAAATAGATCTAAGATCAGGGTACCATCAGTTACGAGTTCACGAGAATGATGTTCCCAAGACAACATTTCGAACTCGTTATGGACACTACGAATTTGTAGTAATGCCCTTCGGTCTAACCAACGCACCCGCGATATTCATGGATCTGATGAATCGGGTGTGCCGCCCTTTCTTAGACAAGTTTGTAATCGTGTTCATTGATGATATACTTGTCTACTCTCGGAGTGAGGAAGATCATAGACAGCACTTGAGACAGGTGTTGGAAACACTAAGGGCGGAGAAACTTTATGCAAAATTTTCAAAATGCGAGTTTTGGATCAGAAAAGTAACCTTCCTTGGTCACGTGGTTATCGAGGAAGGCATACATGTAGACCCTTCCAAAATCAAAGCGATTGAGAATTGGTCAGCACCGAAGACGCCCATAGAAATCCGTCAATTCTTGGGTCTCGCTTGCTATTATCGCAGGTTTATCCAAAACTTCTCCAAAATCGCTAAGCCTTTAACCACCTTGACACAGAAAGGTGTAACCTTTAGTTGGGGAGAAAAGCAAGACACTGCGTTTCAAACATTGAAGCTGGCCATATGCATCGCACCTATCTTGTCCCTGCCCGAAGGGACGGAAGACTGCGTTGTCTACTGTGATGCATCCAATCAGGGCCTAGGTTGTGTGCTCATGCAGCGAGGAAAGGTTATCGCCTATGCCTCGAGGCAGCTGAAAACCCACGAAGTCAATTACACAACTCACGATCTAGAGTTGGGAGCAGTGGTCTTTGTGTTAAAGATTTGGAGACATTATCTCTATGGAACCAAGTGCACTGTCTTCACCGACAATAAGAGCTTACAACATATCCTTGACCAGAAAGAGTTAAAAATGAGGCAACGGCGATGGGTAGAGCTACTCAGTGATTATGAGTGCGAAATACGCTATCATCCCGACAAGGCTAATGTGGTAGCAGATGCCCTCAGCTGCAAGGAGTATTCAGGTCGTAGAGTGAAGGCACTGACAATGACCATCCATTCCCAATTATCCGCGCAAATCAGAGAGGCTCAGCTGGAAACCTTAAAACCAGAGAGTATGTCGAATGAAGCCCTGAGAGCAATGGAAAAGAACTTAGAGGTCTGTAACACCGTAATTTTTCAAACATATTTTTCATTTTAAAATCACATACTTTTCATAACATATTATATAGAAATCTCATTTATTCAAATTACAAAGCAAAACTCCCTTAATAATCCAGGATCCTCAAAACAGAACTCTTTCTCTAGTGTGTACAATCAAGCCGGTGCCGTCCCGCGATCCTGAGAAAAAACCTGAAATACATAACACATAACACGGTAAGCACAAAGCTTAGTGAGTTCCCCAAAATACCCCATACAACACATAAGCCACTCGAGGCTATAACTCGGTATGACCCTCCGGTCAATGTGTCTCAGCGGGACCCTCCAGTCCCGTAGCTCGTTGGACCCTCCAGTACGGTCTAGCTCGTTGGACCCTCCGGTCCGGTCTAAATCGTTGGACCCTCTGGTCCGGTCTAAATCGTTGGACCCTCTGGCCCAGTCTATATCGTTGGACCCTCTGGTCCGGTCTATATAACACATAGCATACATATATCACAATGCACATAAACTCAAACATACACATAACACATAAGACCCTCCGGTCTGCACATAGATACCACTCTAGGTAATGTATAGTGAGAAGACTCACCCCGGCTAGCAGGTGAGCAAATAACCTCGCGCTCGGATCTCGAACTAGCCTCCTCCTAACACAAAGGATGAATATCTCTTATTAATACTCTTTTCACGACTCAGATAATCGAAGGCGGTTCTTTCTCTTTCTAACTCTTTAAAGTGGGTAAAAGACCATTTTACCCCTCCAAGGTCTCTATTACATATGTTGACCAAAACCCCAAAGTCAACAGAAGCCAAACTCGAGTCAACAGTCCAAGTTTGACCCGACTCATCGAGTGCACTCCTGCGACTCGTCGAGTCCCCTCGTTTCCTCAAAAGTCTTAAAAGTCCAGCTCAACTCGTCGATTTGACTCCCAACTCGCCGAGTTATCGCTCAATCAATCCATCGGGACAAACCCTCGCCAACTCGTCGAGTCAGGACATGGACTCGGCTAGTCCCTTTGATATTATTTCTCATTCAGACGATTTCAACCAGATCTATCACTCTAAACTGTAGATCTATCATCCCAAGGCTCAATAATTACGTAAAGCTTCGATCTTTACGTTCATACATGATGTTATTGCTTCAAAATGCCAAAACATGTTCTTCATGAAGGTTTTTGCTCATCAACCTTCATTTGGACCACTAAAGCTGAGAGATCTATACTCTAAGGACCTTAGGAGGTCCAGATCTGAGGTTTCCAACCACAACCAGGTCTCATTTGACTCATAGATTCAAAAGGATGGAAGCAAAGCCCTAAAACTCCCAAAATGAGATCTAGTACAAAGAATAAACAAGATGAGGACTTTGTACCTTCTCTTAGCAGATGAAACACTCAATGCCACAGATCCACTGCCTTCCTTTGTTCCCCATCATGAAGCTCTTCATCCTTCTACATAGAAATGCACCAAGAACCACAATATGAGCTTCTCTCTCACTCTCTAGCTCCAATAGAAATTAGGGTTTGCTTTCAGGGGAAGGTAGCCGCAAATGAGGCTATAAATGCCTTTAAATAGGTCCCAAACCCGGGAAATTAGGGTCTCTCTGCCCAGCACCTACTCGGCGAGTCCCTCCTATGACTCGTCGAGTCCATTCATTAAATCCACGCGAGCAACTCGACTCGACTCGGTGAGTTGGTCCCTCAACTCGTCGAGTCCCTCCTTAAATCTCAAGATTAACATACACAGTGATGTCCCTGAAAATGCGGTTGTTACAATTCTCCCCCACTTGAATTAGATTTCGCCCTCAAAATCGCTCCTCCACAACATATAGATCTAATCCAATAACCAAACAGCACCATCGAAAGGGTCTCATACCACACAACTATCTTCCTCTCTGGACACCTGAATCCGAACAGGAACTCCTCCTTGGAAAAGGACAGACCCATCTGCCACTATGCTACCCCTTTTGACTCTCAAGAATCTGGAAGTCTAGTAGCCTGACACACAGTCAGACCGCCCTCTCCAGATGTCACCACGTTATTCGCTCCTCGAATAACAAACCCGATAGCTACTGCCCCCTCTGATTTCTTTGTGGGAACCGATAAAAACAAGCCATGCCCAAAATGGTTACCGATCACTCGTCCCAGACATGATAAACAATCCAGATTATATACCAAGTAATGGAAGGATCACATCACACCAGGGACTCATCCACTGTACTGCAATCACAACCCTTCTGAACAATGAACCCTCAACACCCTGTCCTCAGACACGAACAATGACCATGCTTGCTCAGAAGCGTCCCCTGACATCTGACAAACATAAACCTCAGCTCCCTTTCAATATCCTTTCAAGACTGAGCACCAGGTCATCTCCGATCCAGCAATTGAACCTCCAAAGGTTACCCATTGCGGTGTACCAAAACGCCTCACTGACTTCCTTATCATGCAAACTATCGGCCCTGTGTGACACACAAGTCACGAAGTTCGCTTCACCTCAAGCGAATATGCAATTCGACTCACTCTCGACCTCTGCCGTCTACTGCTCATTAGTTCCATGCGATTCGCGGTTTTCTCATACCACGATTGACCCATTCAGGTTAAAACCAGATGGAACCAATCCCCCCTCCAACATGAAATTCATTTCTGAATCCGGAATCTCATTCTGCCTACTCAATACACCACTAGAATCGAACTCAAATCGAGAGTCTGGTCCGGCACAGAGTTGGAACACCTCGTCCCAACGAACCACTCAACTCATGACTCATGAACCGCCAACCCATGCGTTCTCACTTATCCACATCCCTTGGTTGCGACAACCACTACTCAATTCAGAATATAACGACTTCGACAAATATGGAGAACCCCAGTTTGCCCCTGGTTCGACCCCACGCTTCCACAAAAACTCAAATTTAGGGCTACCCAGCCTAAAACTCTTCTGCGTCAAGCTCTGATCAGAGAGCACTTCATCACAACATTCTCTCACTGACAATGGGTACTACGGCTCCTCGCAGTATCACAAAACCTCTCACTGAATTAGTGAGTACTACGGCTCCCCGTAAGCATCACCACAACCTCTCACTGAATAGTGAGTACCACGGCTCCCCGTAGCATCACCACAACCTCTCACTGAATAGTAAGTACCACGGCTCCCCGTAGCATCTGATGGGTTATGAGCATTCTAACACTCCTAAGTGTACATGCAACCCTAAATACCTTGGATCTATGTTTTCTCTATTATAGATGCAAATATGAACATCCAAGGTATTATCCTAATCTAGCATACAAAAAATGAATATAACAAGATAGAATACATACCTCTTTGATGTAGAATGTCTTCATGAAGCTTGAGTGCCTAGTGCCCCAAGTGTGACACCTCAAATGGTTCACACAACACCAAATACACTGGAATAACTTGAGAGAAACTTGAACACTTTGTAAATCGTCTAGCCCTCACACTCACACATACTAGTGCCCAATTTTCTTGAGCCATGGGATTCTTTTATATGGTGGCTATTAGGGTTACACCATGTAACTCATAACTTTACCCATTCCTTATGCTCCATGGATTTTAACCTCCATGGAGTATCCATGGGTCACCCCATGGACTTAGTCCAACATAAGGAATCTTGGATCACAAGCCCACATATATAAGAATGAATGATTTACACAATCAACCCATATATTTAATTAGTCTCCTTTTGATCACTTAATTAATCCAAATTAATTCTTGATCAATACTAATTAAATAATTTATTAATATATTAGAACTTATAATATATTAACAAACCTTATGTGTTATTTCTCTCATTATAGTCTATCCAAATGCATGATGCCATGCAACCCAAATGGACCATGCCGGGTCGGGTCAAGTCTTACCAATTATAGTTATGGACTTAGACATTAATCCAACAGTCTCCCACTTGGATAAGTCTAAAACTATTATTGCGTATGACTTCAGGAACCGACTGGCAATCGTAGCTCTCAAAAGCTTCTGTCGAACTCTGACCTTGTCGATGAACTCTGACCTTTGTCAATGACTTGTCCATTAGATAAGGGATCATATATTCCTCCATTCTAGATATCATATGGACTGAGACATGGATTATAATCATTCTCTCTGTCCATTTGTTGTTTCCCGATTTCCGATTCATGACGACTGACTATTGAACAAATCAAATCAGTCCTGGCTTGCCAAGCACTCACATTTGTCATCACCTAAATCATCGAGGGGCCCACAGATATCGCTTTTATCCCGAAGGTAAAAGGAATGGATAAACTTCGACTCATATGGCTTGTTCTACTACTTGTTGAATCATACACAAAGGCACGTTTTATAACATCGAGTTACCAATGCTTTTTCGTGCAATCAATGTATAACCAACTCATAGTAACAACTCATATCTCTAGGTTTGAAGAATATAAGATATTATCGTCTCATGATCACTCGTGATAAAATCCATGAAGTGATTCAAATGAGCGCGGGTTGAATCCAATACTCAGAACTTATGAGCACTCATGAGTGTTGTAGCCCTTTGTCCACCAACTTGGACCTCTACAAACCAACCCATGACAGTCTTGATTCATATCTACTTCCAACATATGACCGACTGTGGATGGTTTGAATAACTTAGTCATTCAGAAAGCGACTAGTTATTCTGGAAGTCAAAACATGCAAAGTGAAACACAAGAATAATGAATCCAATATGGTATCAAACTTATGAATATAAATAAAACACTTTTATTTATCACCATATGATTAACATTATTCATTGTATTCGTTTTTATTCAACTTTATACTTGAATTTAAAACAATAGTTGTCCCATGCTCCAAGCATGTACACTATGTTTTTCTAAACACTAGTCATGCCATACACCAAGTATGCATACTATGTTTGTCTATGATCTTTACTTTGTGAAATAGATCAATTGAACATACTCCAATGATTCCTCATTTCACAGTCCCAAATCCTTACTGCAAATGCAAGAATTCCAAATTCATGCCATTTACTGAAATCTGTTAGATTCTAAACTTATATGCATTGATCCTCTTAATGATTATGCACAAGTCAGAAAGACTTGACAACAATCATTACAGAGCATTCCAAAGGAGATCAACTCCTTGGAAACATCCTTCTTTCATTAAGTTTCCTAATCTTACACAGATTGAATAATTTCTAACTTTGAAACATTTCCATATTCCATTTTGACTATCACTT